CTCAGGCTGGTCTCAGAACTCCTGAGCACAAGCAATTCACTGGCCTGGGCCTTCCAGAGTGTTGGGATTCCAGGCGTGAGCCACTGCACCTGGCCTAAGACATCCTTCTTGACAGCCTGGAAACTCAAACCAGGTTCCCCAGGTCTGGCCTACCACAAGCGGTTGTAATGACTGGATTAAATGAGATAATGAATGTAAAGCACCTGCCATTGGGCTTGGCCTATGGCAGGCTCTCCATAGTGATTATCTGTGCTTTACTTCTCCAGTAGCACCTATCAGAGAATTATTTTTGTTTTGGAGGAATAAACATGTATGGACTCTGCATTTCTTGGGAATAGAGGCTATGTAAAGCTAAGAATTTTAATTACTGTTTTCCATATGTAACACCAAAACAGGCACGTGAACATTCTGTAAGGTAAGACACGAAAAGTAATACTGTTGAGTCAAAGTGATAAAGTCCGAACTAGTTTTCATGGAACTCTCCTGCCCCCTGAGTTCCAACTTATAAAGTAAAAGAGCATATACAAAAATAAACATTTTAAGTGGAGCTTTGGACTTGTCATGATTCTCTGTGTTCTTAGCAATGCCAGGAAAATCAATCCCTATTTTTTTTTTGGAAGAGATTACTTATTGGAAGTTTAGTGGAATATCTCACTTAATTAAACTTGACCACCAACAGCTCCTGAACTTTACAGCATAGAAATTTCCTCTCAGTTCCAGATTGAAAATCTTGCAAAAGTACTCAGATTGACCTGGCATGGGTCAAATATGCACCCCTAAACCAGTCAATTGTGACTTAAAAAGAATCACAAAAGATACTGAGCTTCTGCCAGAAACACAAGGTGAGCAATGGAGGCCCAGTTATCTCAGGAAGATGGAAAGCTGAGAAAAGGCAAAACCGACCACTCCATACTTACATGATACTTGTGTTGAACATAATCGCTGATGGAAATTCATGAAGTAAAAATGTATTACAATAATAACTGATGGAAACTAATTCAGTAAGTAAGATACATGTCATAATGGGTTCTATTATGGCTCAGAGAGGGGAGTCAAAAGAGTAGAGCTCCAGAGAGAAAATTAAGAGAAGATGGAAAAGAGGAAAACCAAGGAACATAAACCACCCCTTCAACCCTCTGCTCATATGCTGTGATGTCACTTACACATTCATGTAAAATTATTGTGTATACAGTAATTATAATTTTAAGTTATCTCTTTACTTTAGAATAGTTTTATAGAAAACTTGCAAAGATGGAACAAAGAATTGCCATACACCTCCTTACCCAGTTTTTCCTATTATGTTAGTAAAGTACATTTTTTGCAATCAGTGAACTAATTGACTAAAACTAACTATTTTTCATTAACTAAAATCTATACTTTATTCAGATTTCCTTTTTTTCCCTTTTCCTTCCAGTTTTTATCCAATGTCTTTTTCTGTTTCAGAATTCCACCCAGGATGTCACATTACATAGTAATCATGTCTCTCTCAGCTCTTCTTGGCTCAGACATTTTCTTAGCTTTTCCTTGTTTCTCATGACCTTGACAGGTATTTTGTAAAATATCCCTTTATTAAGATTTGTCTGTTTTTCTTGTGATTGCACTATGGTTATGAGTTTTGGGGAAAGTCCATAGAGGTAAAGAGACACTCTCATCATATCATGCCCAAGATATGTACTAGCAACTTAATTTATCACTGTTGATCTTAACAGTGATCATCTGGCTGATGTAGGGTGACATTTTATAAAATAAATCCAATCACAGTAACATAAGAGATAGGACAAGACAAGCAGAAGCATATCAAGCAAATTGGGATTTGATTTTTTGGTTTCTAACTTTTAGGACATTATCAGAAGAAGAACTTTTAGTACAATGATCATTGCTCCTGGATGTTCTAGGAACACTGAAGTATTCTAGATAAAAATTAATGAGTGTCTATAAGATTTACAATCATCTTTGTTGGTTCATTCAAAATCATATTAGTCAAGTCCACTGAAGATTATCTAATTACAGCAAAAAAATTACAAATTCATGGAAATGTTGATATTTGATGCAAGCGGTAGATGGTACAAGTCAAGCTAATTAAGTGTGTGTGTGAAAAGAATTTATCTTCTCATGAGTTTACCCAAGTTTTAGCCCTTTGAGGTCAAAAAAAATCTTAGTCACTGATGTTTTCTTTTCATAAACTTTTTGTAGACACTTAAACCACTTAAAAAGATTAACTAGTGATCACCCTTTACAGTGTCAACTCACAAGAAAATAAGCTGATATTGTTGCAAATTTATTTTTTAGGTAAAAGGGTAAAATATAAAGTCTAAATATTTAGTCCAAACTATGACAAGGCTGTACAATGAGCTGTGTACAGGATGCAATCTGCTAGAACTCAAGAATCCCACATAAAAAACTCAATGCTGACAGGAATAATATACAGAGCAGGCAAAATTGCTGGTACATTTTTAAGTGTTTCCACATTAAGAGTTAAAATAAAAAGTTTCCCAGTTCTCAGGAAAAACAATTCAATTAGGCAAATACCACCCCATTTTTGAAACTGTGACAAACTGAAGTGTTATTGTAAAAGTATGCTAGTGACATTTCTAAAGAATGTTTACCAGTCAGAACGGAGACCCTAAGGTTGTCTGTAGTCAAGGAAGTGCAAACCTTGGACGTGGTGCTATCTTTCTCCCTTCCAAATGCAAAGCAAATTTTATCCCCTAGTACTAAAATAGTACCTTTTTAACTTTGACAGGTGTTTCTCAAATGTATTTGATCAAAGAACCCTGTTTATTATGACATATACATGTCATAATATACATATACCAAGGAACCAATATTCTCAGAGCCATACTTTGAGAAATGCTTCTATGTGACAAATAAATACTGTTAGGTAGGTATGGACAGGGTGGATGACAGATGCAATAGGCTATTTTGGGCTGGTCTGGGTCACGCTGACCTGGGCTGTTATGGGAATGAGGCTGATTAAAACCTTCCATGTGGGCTGTTTTGAGAACAGAGTTAATTAAGACTCTGGGAGACTTCCAAAAAGCAGAAGATACACTTCAAAGTTGTGTATAATACCCACAGGCTGCACATTCCAAGGTGCCTGCAGTCACTAGGACAGGACCTGGCTTGCTGTGCAAGTCATTAATAAATTTCTTACTAAATAATAAGTAATTTCTTACTAATAAATTAATAAATTTCTTACTAAAATTTTGTTTTCTTCAATGATTCTGATAACAACCTCAAGTTGCTCTAACAACACTACAACTGTAAGGGCAGTAAGATGAGCAACAACTGCAATCTATTTAGCACATCACAGGAAATTAATAAGTGATAGACATCAAATTTTCTTTTTATTTCCTTATAGAATGAATATTAAGTAGAGAAATCCTACGCACTCTCTCTCTTTTTTTTTTAATAAACTATGCTGGATGCAAAAATGACAAATGTTACAAAGACACTACTACAGTACTGAGAGCACACAGTGTAATCACCAGGAATCCTCTAAAACATTTTAAAGAGACCAAAAGGAATGTTAACATAAAAAGAACTAAGAAGAGTTGAAAAATGACCAACTTACGTTGGGTGGCATAAAGGTGTCCTCAGATCTGATAAAGGGATTCCTCTCCAAATGACTGAAGTGAATTAGCTTCATTCTCCCTACCAGGTGGACTCTAACACGTACACAGGAGCTCACCTGGTTTTCCCAAGGAGAGACACCTATGCCTGCCTCCAGGCAATCCCTTTTGTTCCCTCTAGGCCAACCTCATCAGAAATCATGTTTTTAATGGCATAGTTATACATCAAAAAGAGGAGCAAAAGCTTACCAAAACAGGAGGGTGGGAGGGGAGGTGGGAGGGGAGGGAGTGGGTTGATACAGATAATGTTCTTAACATCTGAGTTGTCTAAATATGGAAGGACTTTTTTATGAGAAATACTATTATAACTGATGAACAGAATTTCTAGTTTCAATCCATCATTAGTAAATAATTTTGAAGACATTATCATAAAAATGACTACTATTTATAACATTCTTTTCCCAAAAAATAAAATACTTTATGTTCCAATATTGCACACTAAATATTATAATATAGTGAATTGACTTACTGGTAAATTGTGGACAGGCTGCCATAATTAAAGCCTTAGTGTTCCCTCTAAAATTTATTCATGGCCCATGCAACATGGCATGGCCTTTCTGTTGTTAAACATTTTCCCAACTTCATATGCCCACTTTAACTCTTATAACATTCCTAATTTAAACAATGTTAACCAGCAAATGTTTATGTTTTTGATTTGGAAATCTAGCATGACATAGGAGAAATGAAAAAATAAAGGCTTCAAACAGAAATACTTTTCACCTACATCTTATTTTTTTTCTGTTATTCAATATAAAAATATACATTTCAAAACATTTTTAGATACCTGAGAAACAGTGAAACAGAAAAGGCCCGAACCCAGGTGATTATGAGGGGTCTGGTTACAGCACAGCAAGGGCAGACTGGCTACAGGTGTGTTTTCCTTTTCTGTGAACTCACACTGGCCTGAAAGGATAATAATAAGAAAAGACATGCTTCGAAAAGCAAAATAAAGATAGAGCACTGAGCACCTTCTACAATGTTGTAATAAAATATTTGTTAATTTCACTGTATGAAAATCTGTGAAAAGATGAAAGACAAAACTGGATACAAAAAGAGTTAAGCCATAGGTATTTAGAAAGCTAGTTTTCTCTGACATCTGTATAAAAAAAAAAAAAGATAAAAAATCCTCTGAGATAACACGAAAGTTCATAATTCTCTTTCCGCCAATATCATCATTTGCTACTGTGGCTTCTTAGTTGCCCACTTAGATTTTATATTACAGACTAATGCATGAAGTCTTGTGTGACAACAAACACTTTAAAAAATATTATAATGCCTTTACTGCTGTACCATGAAGTATTATTATTACAAATAAATTATAACTATACTTTATCATAAACAGAAATTAAACTTTGCCAAACTGATTTTTGAGTCCTCTAAATTTTATTTGTTCACTTACTGCCAATTTCAAAAATCTAGTAATTTGTAGAGGGCTTCCTTATAATTAATGTGAATTAACAAAGCTATAATTTAATTCAAAAGCAATTTTTTTGAATGGGGCTCATACCAGCAAAGCTTAGTATCAGCCAACAACGGGCAAACTAAGGGAAAAAGGTCAGACTCTCCAGTGATATGTAAAGGTCTCTTTCTGGACAGTCCAAAAAAAATTCTTCCCCAAACATTTTGCTCATTAGAATTAGTTTACAAATGGAAATATAATTTAAAGAGATGTTAGGTCTTTGGGCTAGAATCTCACAACTAGGAGGAATAACAATTTCAACACAAATTCTTATGATATTGTCAGAAAGTTTTACCACTGATTTAAAGAAACCTGTCGAAATAATAAATGAAAAAGCTATGGGGTAACAGCTGTTGAGTCTACAATTAAAAACTACTTTTAATTTTTTTCCTATAGACAAGACACAAATAAAAAGAATTTTCCATATTTGTATTGCCAGAAATTCCATGATAGTCCAAACATGAAGAAGTGAAGGTTAAACCTGCATCCAGCTGGTTGACAATGAAAAGCCTGGAACCAGCACTGAGCAGCATAAGACAGCATTACTGCGTACCAAAGACAAAGGGCAAACACCTGCAAACATTTTTCTACTGAAGCTCCAGTAAATTGGCAATAACACACCCTGATTGTCTTTCTAGTGATGATGTTGAATAGTTAGGACTACCACAAAACCAGTGCTGAAAGCTGATAAATATTTATGGTGCCACCTGGTGATTTCTTCAAGTTCAGCCACAGCTATGATTTTGGATGCCACCAGGACTGCCCCCACAGGCAACTGCTCTCCTGTGAGGATATGAGAAGCTGTAGGGTTGGGAACCAGATTGTTGCAGGTGCTCTGAACAAAACTGAGAAGAGCTGCCAACTAAAATAAAAAAATAAAAAAGAACAATGTTTTCCTATGCTTTTCCACAGAATCACTATTTCATGCCTGTGAAAGCTAAAAGAAAAGGGAAGCTCCTTTATTCCGCATAACCTGTAAGTTCAAGTTTCCAAGTACACATTTTCATTACAGTAGTAGCACACACTTTTTCAGCAACATCCATCTTCTTATTGAATCCTTGATGGGATTTTAGTTTAGAAGGAGGAGAAACAGCATCCAGATGCTGAACGACGGCTCCAGCAACATCATATGAGATGGCTTTTATGTTTGCCACGTAGGCTGAGTTTTGTTGTCGTGAGCAGCTGTGCCAGGCCATTGAGAAACACTAGAAAGATGGTCATGGACATGACGATCACATAGTGGCTGATGCTGCACAAGGAGAGAAAGAAACATGATACAGGTAGGAAGAATACATATGAGGAAAAGCATACAATTCCTCTAATGTTTTAAAATGGATAGATATGTAGAATTACGAAGGGTCCAGTGATTTCAAAATAGATACCAAAATGTTTTTAAAAACACAGTTTTTATAGTTTAGTATGTGAGCAACTTATGTACTTCCTCAATAATGTATTAAGAATCAATAATGCATATTACTTGTGTATTAATTTTTAATCCCTAATAACACAAACTACCATTACACTGAAACAGTGATGAACGTATGTTTTTGCAGTATCTGCAAAAACTGTAATATGTTATGATAATGTCTATATTTGGTCTTGGCAGTATCTGTGTCTTGGTCACCAGTGGAAGTTAAATTTAAAAAGCCTTTAGAAAAATGAAGACTTTTTTCTAAAATTATATTAAAAAACTATCCTCTTCTAATTCTTCAACCCTTTGAATTTTATTCACTGATTCCCCAAGATGCTCCCAGGCTAAGTATTGGGACGTGATCTTTCTGTAAAATCTTCCAAAGCAAGGCAATTCAAGTTTATGAATTGATGCTGGGGAAACATGTCCTCTTAAACTAGAAATTTTTTAAAAATCAGAAAAACTCTTTCAGGAGTACTTTCCCCTATTACTCCTGCTAAGTTCAGTCTTCCCTTGGTATCCATGGGGGAGTAGTTCCAGAACTTGCTGCAAATATCCAAGTCCTCAAATGTTCAAGTCCCTGATATAAGATGGCATCGTCTTTGCATATAACCTCTGCAAATTCTCCCATATACTTTCTTTCTTTCCTTTTTTTCTTCTTCCTCTCTTTTGAGATGAGGTCTTCTCTATTGCCCAGGTTAGAGGGCAGTGGTGTGATCATAGCCCAGAGCAGTCTTGAACTCCTAGGTCAAACAATGTTCCCATCTCAGCCTCCCAAGTAGCTAGGACTGTGCCACCATGCTAATTTTTAATAGGATCAAGATTTTGCTATGTTGCTCAAGATAGTCTCAAAGTCCTGGCCTCAGGCAGTCTTCCCTCCGCAGCTTCTCAACATGCTAGGGTGACAGGTTTAAGCCAGCACACCTAGCCTTCTCTTACATGCTTTAAATCATCTATAGATTGCTTATAATAAGGCAATGTAAATTATATATAAATAATTGCTAGACAGTATTGTTTAGGGAATAATAAGAAAAAAAGTTTGCCATGCTCAGTACAGACACAATGGAATTAAGCAAGAAATCAATAATAAATAGCAGGTAATTCCCCAAACACTTGGAAACTAAATACACTGGTGAATAATCCACAGGCCAATGATGAAGTTTCAAAAGATATTCAAAAAAAAATTGAATGGAATAAAATGAAAATCCAATTATTTAATCCAATTAAATTAATCCAATGATTAATCACTAGTGAGACTCTATCTCAAATAACATAAATAAATATAATGTAAAAAATCACAGTTGGGGTACACAGCTAAAGCTGTGCTGAGAGATGGACCTATGCAAATATGTACCCCCCCCCCATAAAAAGAGTGAAAACTACATACCTGATATCTCTCCACACCTATCACTGTGAGTCTCACATTGGATATAAAAATTAACTAAAATGGATCACAGACTTAAATGTAAAATGTAAAAATATAAACATTTTAGAAAAAGAATTATCAGGAGAAAATATTTGGGATCTGGGGGCCAGGCAAAGTATTTTTAGACTGGACATTAAAGTGCAATCTAAAAAAGAAAAAAAAATGATAAACTGGACATCATCAAATTAAAAAACTTTTGCTCTGTAAAAGACCTTGTTAAGAGGGTAAGAAGACAAGTCACAGACTGGGAGAAAAGATTTTCAAGCCATATAGCTGACAAAGGAATAGTAATAAATTCTCAAAACTCAATGTGGGAAAAAAAATCCACAAACAACCCAATTAGAAAATGAGGAAAAGGCACAAAGACACACTTCACCAAAGAAGTTATACAAATAGCAAATAAACAGAGAAAAAAAATGTTCAACACCATTTATCACTAGGGAAATGCAAATTAAAACCAAAATGAGATATTGTTACACATGAATGGCTAAAATAATAAATAGTGACAACATCAAATGACAGAAAGGATGCAGAGAAACAGGATTACTACTCTCTGCTCAGCTCCTCTGGAAAACAGTTGGCCAGTTTCTCAACATGCAACTACCAAAAGTAAGATGCTTCTGGGCATTTATGCCAGAGAAATAAAAACATATATTCATAGGAATATTTATAGAAGTTTTCTTCATAACATCCCCCCAAAGTGGAAATAACTTTGATGACTTTCTACAGGTGAATACTGAAACAAATTGTGGGGCACTTTCATACCATGGATTTACTCACCAATAAAAAATAACTATTGAGGCGGTGCCTGTAGCAAAGTGGTTATGGCACCAGCCACATACACTGAGGCTGGTGGGTTCCAGCCCAGCCTGGGCCATCTAAACAAAAATGACAATTGCTACAAAAAATAGCTGGGCGTTGTGGCAGGCACCTGTAGTCCTAGCTACTTGGAAGGCTGAGGCAAGAGAATCATGAGCCCAAGAGGTGGAGGTTGCTATGGTTATGATGTCACGGCACTCTACCAAGGGCAACATAGTGAGACTCTGTCTCAAATAAATAAATAAATAAATATAACTATTGAAACACACAACGACCTGAATGAATCACCAGAAAGTGAAAAAATGCTAACTCCAAAAGGTTATGTACTATATGAAATAATAAAATTATTAAAAAAAATTTAATCTTTTAAATCAAAAAATTTAAAACATCCCTGGGTGTTAATGAGGGGGCATAAAAGGACAACATGAAAGATCCTTGTGTTGACAGAAATGTTCTGTATTTTGACAGTATCAACTTCAATATCCTGGTTTTACTACCTGTTATCCTGTAGTTTTTGCACAAAGTTACGATTGGGAAAAACAAGGTAAAGAGTACACAAGATCTCTCTGTATTATTTCTTACAATCTCATGTGAATCTATAGTTATGTCAAAATAAAATGTTTAATTAAAAAAATTTTTCTTAGTTCTCAAGCTATACAAAAACAGGCTATACAAGAGGTAGGTTGGGGCTGGTCCAACATTATTGGGTTATCATAACTTACTAACATTGGTGTCACTAAACTTGATATACAATATCCCCACTGCTAAATTTGACTCTTTAAAAAATAAACAAATAAGCAAACAAAAAAACAAGAGGTAGATTAGATTTGACTGAGGGGCATGGGTTGCTGATAAAAGCTCTGTAGAAGTAGGGACCATGATTTTTTTTTTTTTTTAAGAGACAGAATCTTACTTTGTCACCCTTGGTAGAGTGCCATGGCATCACAGCTCATAGCAACCTTCAGCTCTTGGGCTTAAGCGATTCTCTTGCTTCAGCCTCCCAAGTAGCTGGGACTACAGGCACCCGCCACAATGCCCAACTATTTTTTTGTTGCAGTTTGGCCGGGGCTGGGTTCAAACCTGCCACCCTTGGTATATGGGGCTGGCGCCCTACTCACTGAGCCACAGGCACCACCCGGGACCATGATTTTTATATCACTTCTTTTCCCACTGCACCTTTAAAGTATAATGGAAGGCCTTATGTGCATTTAATCAATATTTATTAAATTAATTATTAAAGAGAATAATTTATAATTAAAAGAAATCATAATATCCTCTTTTGTTTTATATTACCCCAGTAAGTTTAATCTGGACTTAAATCAGACTCTCCTAAAATAAAAGTCATAAATATAATCACAATTACATGCTAAAAACAAAACAAAAATTCTTAAACAAAAAGAATTTCTATGCAAATAAAGTAAAACTAGCCCTGCAAGATATTGAAACATAAAGTTAGGCATAATCCTGGCATTAGAATTAACAGTCAGAACAACAACAAGCTACAATACAGATGAATGCCCTGTCACAAGAAGATACAGGAATCATCACAGACAACAGCTGTTCTGGTTGGACTCACTTTAAATTTATGAACACAAAGGAGATTTGGTTCTTGTGAATGCCTCAATACCGACTGCACACTTGTGAATTACTTTTCTGTCTCTGAGCCAAACCACTTCACGTCCTGTCATTTCTTTTTAATGTTCTGTCACCTTCCTCCCATCTCAGCAGATGACTTGCTTATTTTATTGAGAGGAAACTGACAGAGCATCAGAATGGGAAGTACTTCTTCTCACCCTGCTAACCCACCTATATCTGTGCCCGTATCTCCTGTGCCTGCTCCTGTCTAAAACAAGCTCCTCCACTTCATTTTGGATCCCATCTCAATTTTCCTACTAATTAATGTTCCTTTTGCCAACTATCCCCTCCTTACTTATATCACTGATCCCTCCCTCTTTTGCATGAACATATTCTTTACCACATAAATGTGTAATTTCTCTCATCCTAAAAACAAACCAAAAAATCTCTCAAGTTCTCTTAGCTCCCTCCAGCACCATGCCAATTTAAAGCATCTTAAATTTGATAGATCCAAAAACCTATTCTTCATCTCCTGCACCTTCCTTCACCAAACTCAGTCCTCTTAAAGTCCTCTCTATCTCTGGAAGTGGCCTTACCATTCACTGAGTTACTCAAGACAAAAAACCTAGGAGTCGTCCTTGATTTTTCTCCTCCCAGTATATCTGATCCACCAACAAATTCTATCAACCTCACTTTTAAAACATTTTCTAAGACAAGCCTCTTGTCATCATTTTAAATTGCTACACTAATCTAAGCTGCCATCATCTCCAGCTTAGAATGCTATAACCTCTTAATCTTCCTGCTCCTCTCTTGATCCCTCCAAGGTGTTTTTTACACTGTGGTCAAAGCATTGTTCCACAATGTGAAGCAAGTAAAATCACCTCCTGCAGTCTCATGTTTCACTCTTTCAGGTAGAATAAATTCCTAATTCCTTGTAATGGCCTTCAAGGCCACTGTGATATCAAATGCCTACTCTCTGAACTCTCTCCCTGCCATGTTTCCCCTCACACCATTCTAGTTACACTAACCTTCATGTTTTCAAAAGTACTTAAAGACGTGGGGGAATCGTTATTATAGAAAGACAAATTAAAAAAAAATCCCTGTACATGTTTGCATGTAAATTAAGGCTAAAAGGACATATATAAAATATACTGAACAGCGGTCTTCTCTGAGGTAATGAATTATGAGTGACTTATTTTTTCTTAATGCTTTCAGTATTCTTCATACTAAGCTTGTGATACATTTATTTTTATGTGATGTTTACAAATTATGCTAAGTTCAGTCACAGAAGTCTAAAGCTGACTTCATAATTATCATAGAAATTTTCAACTCTACCCTTCCTTTGAGGCGGCACCTGTGGCTCAAGGAGTAGGGTGCCGGCCCCATACACCAGGGGTAGCAGGTTCAAGCCTGGCCCCGGCCAAAACTGCAAAAACAAAATAAACCTAAATCTACCCTTCCTTTGAGGCCTCAGAGGACACTTTAAAATCTGTACCAGTTCCTGAGATTAAAATGCTCAATGCAATAAACTGGATATAATGGTCACAACTTCCTGTTATAAGATTGTTTACTCCACAGCCCAGGGACTGAAGCTTGGAGTCACAGGTGAGATGAGGGAGGGAACGCAAATTATCTAGCATATAGCTTGAAGATCAAATCCAAGAAAGCTCAATTTGACCTTGGTTCCACAGGCAAGAGGTTGGAGCAGTGTAAACAAAGAAAAGCAATAAATACTGTAAAAATATTAACACTATAGAAAGGATAAACAAAATGTGGTATATCCATACAATGGAACATTATTCAGCAGTGCAAAAGAACAAAGTATTTTTTTACATATTACAATATAGATGAATGCCAGAAAAAAAATACACTAAGTGGAATAAATTATACACAAACAATTATACATTACAGGATTCTGTTTGCTGCGCTCTTGTAGTACGAGTAGTCCCAGGTACTCAGAAGGCTGAGGCAGGAGGACTGCTTCAGATCAGGAGTTCTAAGACTACCCAAGGCAACATAGCTAGACCCTTGTTACTAATTTAAAAAAAAAAAAAAGGAAAAGTCCATTAAAAAGCAACTAGAGAACAGAAAGAAAATTAGTGGTTGTCTGAGACTTGGTATGAGAATGGAGATAGACTATAAACAGGCCACAGAAAACTACAGAATAACAATATTAGTAGGTGGCATTTCTTGATGTTTATTAGATGCCAGGCACTATGCTAAATGCTTTCTATCAATTAATTCATTCCAAATGACTGTAAGAGAAAAGGAGGCTTAGAGAGATTAAGTTGCTCACCAATGGTCTCATAGCTTAAAAGCCGCAGAAATAGGATTCAAATCCAGGTGCACTGATCTAAAGCCAGTGACCCACTCTGCTCTGACCCACTATCTATCTGGACACTTTGGAAGAGAGAGCTGGTACGAAGGAGATATCTAAGCTTTCACATTTAAGAAACAAATGAAAACAAAAATCAATGATCTATGAAGTGCCTTTTATGCGCTAAGCAAACATGGCATGTAAGAGATTCAAATCAGATCTAGAATCTGTCTCAGAATTAATTTTGAGGGGGATAACAAAAGGATAGACTTGTTTTCTTTTTTCTCATAGAGAGGAAATTTAGCAGATTATGACAATTATGACATTCAAATCACAAGACAGAGGAAACTGACCTTGTTCAGCTTATACTTCAAATAATGTTAGAGGTATCACATGTTAAAATGTTTTCATATTAAAGGTTCTAGTATTCTAAATGAGTACATGAAATTTAAACCACCACATAAAATTCACACTACAACTTAAACAGCCTTATTTCTGTAAACAGAGATTGAGAGATTAAGAAAACACACAATAACACTAGAGTGATCTACTTCAAAACCCTAGCTTTAAGTAGTTTATTTTGTATCTTCCATTGTCTTTTAGTTCTCTACAGACTTAACATCTATCTTCCTCCCTCCTGTATACCAAGAAAACACTAATGTGTTAATGGTAAGAATTGAAGAGATGTCAATTGCTACTTCCTATACCTACCTCAAAATCATAGTGACACCTTCCATACTAGAATTTTCACTTTTTTTTTCACTGCATGCTTAAGAACATTTATGTGAGCATAGTCAGGCATCACATACCAACATTTCAGTTGATGATGAACCACATGTATTGCAACAATGGTACCGTTAGATTATAATATATGAGCTAGGTGTGGTGGTAGGTGCCTGTAGGCCCCACTATGTAGGAGCTGAGTGAGGAGTATCACTTGGGCCCAGGAGTTCCAGCTTATAACCAGCTATAATCATGGCAGTCTGGGTGATAGTGTAAGACCCTGTCTTTAAAAAATAAAAATTTTTTTAAAAGACAGTAATAAAGCTCAAAAATTCCTGTCATTTAATGACATCACAGCTATTGTAATGTTGGCAGTGCAATGCATTACTCATATCTGAGGTGATGTTGGTATAAACAAACCGACTGTGATATCTGTTATATAAAGTATAGCATATATGATTATGCACAGTACATAATACTTTACAGTAAATGACTGTATTATTGGTTTCTGTATTTACTATGCTTTTCATCATTATTTTAGAATGTATTCCTTTTACTTTTAAAAGTAAGTAACCTGTAAAACAGTCTGAATTAGGTCCTACAGGGAGCTTCCATGAGTGTTTCCCCTGGGGGCCAAGACATGGAGGTGGAAGACAGTGATACTAATGATCCTGACCCTGTTAGGCCTACGCCAAAGTGTCCTTGTCTTAGCTTCTAACAAAAGCATTTAAAATGTTTTAAAAAAAAATTAAATAAAACTTATAGAATAAGGATTTAAAGAAAAAACACTTTTGTACAGCTGTACAATGTGTTTGTTTCAAGCTATGTGTTATTTAAAAAGTCAAAAAAATAAAATTTAAAAGTTTATAAAGTCAAAAGGTTATAGTAGGATCAAGTTAATACATTATTGAAGAAATAAAATAATTTTTTCATAAATGCAGCTTATAGCATACGTGTACAGTAATGTAGTAGGCCATCACATTCACCCCTCACTCACTCACTGACTCACCCCTAAGCAACTTCCCATCCTGTAAGCTTCATTCACAGCAAGTACCCTATAAAAATATCATTTAAAAAATATCTTCCATGCTATATTTTTATTGTGCTTTTTCTATGCTTAGAAACACAAATACTTACCATTTGTGTTACAACTGCCTAGAGCATTAAATATAATAACATGCTATACAGGCTGTTAGCCTAGGAGCAATAAACTATATTCCATATAGCTAGGTGTGCAGTGGACTACACCACCCAGGTTTGTGTAGGTGCACCATGATGCTTACATAGTAACAAAAATCACCTAACAGAACATTTCATGACTATATTTACTATACCTTGTTCCAATATCAAGCCAGCTGCCATAATCCTTGACCAAGAAGAAAAAATGCTGTAAAATAAAACAAAATATGGCTTCATTAAAAACAAAGCTAGTTAGACTCGGTCTAAAAACAAACTTGTTTTATGATTGCATGTTACAGATTTATAACCCTTCAGGACAACTATCTGATTAGAATCAACAAAAATATTCCATTTACTAAACTTTTTGCTCACATTAAAATGACCAATAGTCAAAAAGTCAGAAACAGAATAATCATTTCAATCCAATGGACACAAATGTGATATCTGTCAATAAAGAAGAACCAGCCAACTTTCAAAAAGACATGAAGTACTACAGACATTAGTGAAAGAAGCTATATCATCTATTCAGCAATGAATATTTACTGACTGACCACTATGTGCTGAAAAATTCCCCTTCATAAGGCAGATAGTCTAGTGAATAATTCAGTCAGATTATCAGTGTTTGTATATGTGCACATGCATGTGAGAGATGAGTGTTCTTATTAGAAAAGACAGGCAATTATGGGAGCACAGAAGTAAGGCACAGACTCTGGGGCAGAAAGGAAGGCTTCCCAACGAAAGGTAAAATCTGAGTGAAAAATAAGAGTCAGTCAGGGTGCACCTGAATCTAGTTAAACTTCTGTGGCATACTTAAATTATGTTGATAAAATAAAAAGGACAAAATATATAATAAATAAATAAATAAACAGTAGGAGTCAGGAAAGAGAAGGTTGGGGAGAGAGTGTCTGGCAGAAGAAACAGCTGATACAGAGAGTACCACAAAAAAAAGTACACACATTTTAGGAGCTCCTGATCATGTTAAAAGTAAAATTGATCATTTTACTGTACAAATTACAGGTAAAATGGATGTGCACAGTATGTCTAGGTAAGCTTGACCAGTAATGGTATCTTTAATTCAACTTTAAAAAGTAATACATAGGTAACATCTCCAACAATATGAATATCTATACATTTTTTTCACATATAAAAACACATTCAGATTTATCTTGCTTAAATTAACTTAGCAGTTAGTTTCTAATCTTATTCATACTGACTACTCAGTAATGCCTTACCAGAGCCATAGTGTCTGATATGATGAGAACGAGAAGAAAAAGACTGGAAAAAAAATTTGAACAGATTACATATTCCTATACAATAGGAACATTTTTCAAACACACAAAATCCAAGGGAGAATAATAGAACAATCCAATATTCTGTTAGTACTTTTGCTTCTAAAAATACTACTTTCAACAAGATAGAATTCTTTTCATATTATCATGGGTGACCATCCCTCAGAGATGAGCTGGACTTCAACACGTATTAGAAGACTATACATCTGAAAAATGACTAATATCCAGAATCTACAAGGAGCTAAAACAAATCAGAGAGAAAGAAATGAAACATCCCATTAAAAAGTGAACAAGACACTAACAAGCATTTTTCTAAAGAAGATATACAAATGGCCAATAAACATATCAAAAAATTATCAATATCGCTAATCATAAGGGAAATGCAAATTAAAACCACAATGAAGTAACACTTTACCCTTGTCAGAATGGTCATTGTTAAAAACTTAAAAAAAGCAAACAATACATGTTGGTGCTGACAAGTTCAAAAGGGAATGCTTATATTCAGTGTTGGTGAAAACTATAAATTAGGACAACAGTATGGAAATTCCTCAAAGAACTAAAAGTGGACCTACCATTCAATCCAACAATTCTCCTGTTAAAGATCGATCCAAAGGAAAAGAAGTCATTACATCAAAAAGACACATGCACTCATATGTGGGGGATCCTGTGTACCCTTCCCCTACCCCGAAGTACCTTGCAAAACCATGGTACAATATCACAAGCGAGATATTGGCATTGATACTGTCAGGATGTGAAATATTCCATCATCACAAGGACCTCTCACTGTGTCTATCCTCCTTTACCACCTCCTGCCTAATTCCTAACCCTAGCAACCAGCAAACTGTTATACATTTTTATAATTCTGTTTTTAAGAATTATATAGTCATTTATATAACAAATAAGACCATTTATGTAACACTTTGTTACCTTTTAGGACTAATTTTTCTCACTCTGTATGATTCTCTCAAGATTCAGCCAAGGTGTTGTGTGCACCAATAGTTAGTTTATTTATTTATTTTTTTTAGAGACAGAGTCTCACTTTCTCACCCATGGTAGAATGCCGTGTTGTCACAGGTCACAGCAACCTCCAACTCCTGGGCTTAGGTGATTCTCTTCCCTCAGCCTCCCAAGTAGCTGGGACTACAGGCACCTGCCACAACACCCAGCTATTTTTTTTGTTGCAGTTTGACTGGGGCTGGGTTTGAACCCGCCACCCTCAGAATATGGGGCCGGTGTCCTACTCACTGAGCCACAGACGCCGCCCCAGTTTGTTTATTTTTATTGCTGAATGGTACTCCACTGTATGGTTATGCAATGGTTTACTTAATCACCCAAGTACTGAAGGACATCGGGGTTGTTTATGTTATAAACAAAGCTGCTATACACATTTGTGTATGGTGTTTTGTGTGTAAACACGTAATTTCGTTTCTCTAGAAAAAATATCCAAGAGTGCAATTGCTGGGTCATCTGGCAAGCTGCATGTTCACTTTAATAGGAAACTGTAAAACTCTTTTCAGAGTAGCTGGACAATTTTCCTAAGCATTGTATAAAAGCATCCTTACCAGCTTTACATCCTTACTAGCTTTTGGTGACGCCCCTACTTTTTAATTATTCTGACACACGTGTAATAACATCTCATTGCGGTTTAATGTGCATTTCTTAATGGCTAATGATGCGGAACAACTTTTCATTGGCTTATCTGCCAGGTTTATATCTTCATGAGGTGCTTTATTCATTTTCTAACTGAATTGTTTTTTCTTGTTGAGTTTTGAGAGTTCTTTATATATTCTACATTCCTGGTTTGTAAACATTTTCTCCCAGTATGTAGCCTGTCTTCTCATCCTCTTAGCAGAATCTTTCACAGAGCAAAATCTTTTAATTTTGAAGAAGCCCAACATCTTAATTCCAGTCTGTGAGACACATAAATCCTGTTTCTCTCAGCTACTATTAGATTTTCATTGCTCACAGCCAAAAGTATTCTTAACAGATCAACCAGTGGGAAATCTCCATGCCCAGATATTCCCTCTTAGTAATATCTATCCAAAATATACAAGGTTTTGTTGATGAATGAACCCAGTTATTGAGACAGAAAAACTAGATAAATTATTGATATTCAGAAAAGTTCGTTTATGTCATGCAAAATAAAACAGTGTTAACATAGCTTTTCTACTTCATCTTTGTTCAATACATATTTTAAGAAAAGCAGTTGGAATCCTCTCACTGGTGGTTATATTCAACTTATCCTTGGCCTTATGGACCTAATAAACAGTCATTAGCATAAACTGTACCACTACCTTAACTCTTAGGCTTTTAAGAGTTGTAAGAAAATGTTTAGTAACATAGACAATGAGGCTGTAAAAATGTGAACAGTAAGAAGAGATAATATATTAGTGGTATCTGACAAGGGGATATGGCAGTGAGGAATGGATAGACTTTGGCTTCAATGATGGATTAAATAAAGAAAACAGGATGAGAAGCCAGTTTGCAACAGGAAGAAAAGGAATTGCTGGGTTCATTGTGAGACATACTAAATTTAAAAAGTCAGTGTGACATGCAGGAAGAAATGCCAGTGACTTGTAAGGTATTAAAAGTCAAGAGAGCAGACTTTTTTAAAGCCTTAATTTTGTCACTTTTGCCACAGTTCTCTCCCATTATATTTAGTTTTCCATTGTACTAGTTTCATGATCAGATTACTATATACACACATACAAATATAAGGATATATAAACACACACTTAAATGAGCCTTCTACTTCTCATTCCACATGTTCTCAGCTCTGATACATATAAATCTTAATTAAAATCTCTTCTAAAAATATCATCCATAACAAAGATGTAGGAACATATGTGTCATTCACCAGTGTTTTATTCTACCTATCTTTTATGTGATGTTGCCAAGGCATAAATGTTCTCATTGTTAAATTCATGTAAATATCTTGCAAAAATATACTAAACAAAACTACAAGTGAGATTTCGACTATTCTTAAGAAGCAGAAGAAAAAAAATTATTATGGCATATGCATAATATGCTAAACCTAGTTCCGGCTTAAATTCATCAAGAACATGTAAATTTATGTTAATATTAGTTATTTCAGCATTGAATATGCCAGCTTGATTCACGAATAACAAAACTGCTAAGAAACTTCATATTTATATCAAGTGCTCTTCAGAGTCCCTGTGCTGATGAGACAATTTTATTGGTTAAAAAAAACAAACAACAAATAGTTGCATTTACAGCTTCTATTTTATAGTCTTGAGTGCTTAAGGCTACTCCAAAAAGTCCTCAAAACTCAAAAAGAATAATTTCCATTTCATTTGTCAAATGTGTAGACATCAAGACTAACAAACTGTATAAATTATTGACAGTAAGAAAAATGTAAGCCATGTAAAACTAAGTAATGTTAACAGAGTTATCTAATACAATTTAAGAAATAAGCCAAGAGAATGTGAGAATGATATCCTTTGCTATTGTAGGCATAGTTATATCTATAACAACCAGGAAATTAACTACAGTAATTTAACACTTATGTTTTACTGTTTTCTAAGAAAGCTCTTCAATAGCTTGTTTTTTTTGAAAACAAAGTCTTGCTCTGTTGCCTGGCTAGAGTGCAGTGGCATCATCATACCTCACTGCAGCCTCTAACTCCTAGACTCAAGCAATCCTCCTGCCTCTGCCTCCCAAGTACTTAAGACTAAAGGTATGCACCATCATGCCTGGCTAATTTTTTTATTTTTGTAGAGACAGGATCTCACTATTGTCAGGCTGGTCTTAAACTGTTGGTCTAAAGTGATTCTCCACCTCAGCTTCACAAAGTGCTGGGATTAGAGGTATGAGCCACCACTCCTGGCCTTAAATAATGTTCTCATAATATCCTGTTGCTAAGAAAGCATGTTTATCTGGTAGAGGCCCTAAATCAACTAAAGTCCTCCAGTGACAATGGAATTCTGACTAAACAGGCAAAATATTTCTCATTTTTGTAATAATATATATTAGAGTATCTTAATAGCAATCACATAAAATATCTTCAAATGTTTACTTTCATTTTCTAAAAGCACACAAATCCAGTGCTTCTTAAGCTAATTCATCTTACCTTTTTGATGACAACTGAGTAGTTAACTGAACTGCTTCGAAAGCACACATAACAAGAACAAAAGGGATTAAAATCTGTTTAAAAGAATAAGAAATGATGCCATGAGTAACTGAAGCATTTGAAAGACTTTATGAAACAAATACTATTTCTGCTTATAGAAATGTTTTTAATTTCTCAAGTAACATATATACTAATGAAGAACCCTAAAATAAAAGCATGATACCAATGACACATAAAATACTAGTGAAACTGATCTAAATTTTTTTTTTTTTTTTGGCTGGGGCTGGGTTGGAATCCACGTCCTCTGGCATATGGGGCCGGCACCCTATTCCTTTGAGCCACATGTGCCGCCAAAACTAATTTAAAATTTTACCACAAATGCAGTAATAAAGACAGCAAACACCAATAAACATTCTAATAAAAGTCTATGGCAAAGTCTGTTCTATTTAACTCATTCTAATAATTAACAAGAATATTCAAAAGATTCTAAGAGGGTATGAAAGGCATAGAATGCCCAAATCAAGTAAATTGCTTGATTGATAATTTGATTCACAGATCCCTGAATCCACATGGTTATTTGAAACTATATTGCTATAATATGGTCCGCTGCTTTATCACTGCTTTTTGGTTTTCAAAAAAAATGTGAATTTCTGATCATAAAATCCACACTCATTGTAATAAATTTGAAAAAATATAGAGAAATTTATAATAAAATTTATGTTGGCTGAAAACTCATAATCTAGAGCTAATACTGTTAGTATTTTAAGGTATTATTTTCTAATGACCAATTTTTAATAATATAATTTACTTGATTTTTCAGATAAAGTAGGGAGACACAGACAATAAATGATGTTTAAGACTGTGTAAGATTCTTTTCACATAACAAACATATGAATAAAACAGAACTCAAGAAAGCCCTCATTTCTGGGCAAATCAATCAACAAAAGTCAAGTGTTCTGTTTCATTAAAGTTTACTGAATTATGCTGGAGATTACGAATCTAGCATTATAATTTGAGCTTTGCATTTCTTTCTTTTTTCTTGTTTTTTACAACCACAATTTTTAGAAACGTCAATGAAAATTAAGGAACTAATAACAAGTTTTAAAACAACTCAATAGAGAATAAGTCACGAGAAAATGTTGAATCTCTTTTTAACAATTCTTAAACTTAATATTGTGTTAGCATAGTAAGAAAAAGTAGATATTAATCCTTTTAAGGACAAACACCTTTAATAATTACTACTTATGTGATCCAAACTGAAAGTAATCAGATTTTAGGCAGGTATCAGTTACTTTATTTGGCCATATATATATATAAAAACTATGCAAAATGTGCCAGGCACTATGGTTGAGGGAATTTGGTAGAGGGAGTAAAACAAGCATAATGACCTTAGAGAAGAAGGGCAAGGACATGAACTACATTTCACTGGGGAGTCTAAACCTCTGGGAAGCAGGGAATACATTATTATCTTTGTATTGTCAGCACCCAGCTAGGGCCTACCACAGTACTGAACATAGGTAGCACTCAATGACATATCTGTCGAATAAACTGATCAATCCAAAGTACATGGATTATGAGAAAAGTCAGCATGTTGGCAATCATTCATGGGTAGGGACATGGGTTCAGGGAACCTTAGAATCTTGAACAGCACTGCAGTTTTGATCCCAGCTTCCCCATAGGCCATAATAATATTTAATAAGGACTTTCTAGGACTAACATGATCCTTACTGTACTGTAGTCAAATAGGTTTAAGAGTAAAGCAAAAAAATTAACTGTATTTTGGAGTAAGGGGCAGGATGTCCCACCTCCAGTTGAGCAATGGTATAATGCCAAGTCGAAAAGGTATTTTCTTTCTGTTGTTATTTAACTGTGTCGTAAAGACTATATAACCTAGTTATGTAATCTTAAAGTCACAGTGCATTCATATACTTAATCAATAACTTAATAAAAATAAGAAAATAAGAAAACTAACCTTCCACATCATCAGGGCTCCCATCATAAAAGGACTAAACACAGTCAGAAAACAATAGACAGAGGCAAGGTCAAAGCTAGGGGATTATAACAAAGAAAAAGGATTTAGAATTCACACTGTAACGTCAAATGAATGTTCTGCTATAAGGAGCCTAAACTAATTCTCTGAAACCTACTTTTACTAAAATACAAATATACATCATATCAAAAATTATTATGAAACCACTAAAATGAACAGTATCGATCTGAATATGCGAATACATACAAATCTCCAAAATATATCATTCAGTACAGAGGCAAGGCACAGGACAAAAAGCATAGAAGTCCCAATTTGCACTGTATTTTTGGTTATACATAGGCTGTTTTCATTTAAAATTACCTGTTAATAGAGGCTATATTTCCAGTTCCAAAAAATGCTGTCACTAAGAAAAAAACCTAAATAGAGTTAAGGAAATGGCAAAACAAGTCAGAATTTATACAACGTTCTTCTTCATTCAGGAAAGACATGCTAATTCTCTATGAGTATAATTGCTGTTTTACTTGTCTATTGTCATGAATTGTCCTAAATGAGTGTACCATCTTATCTCCATATGAATGTATTGAGAAATAACTTTAGGAAGGTTATTTTCCTCTTCCCTGACATGAGTGAGTTGAACCGTGTTGGTAGTTGGCTGCTAATGATTTTTTCAAAAGAAGAATATAGATGACCTAGTGCATATCACACACCTTTGCAGCTAAAAGACATACTTTTAGTTTATATGCCCACGTTTACATGTGCCCACTACATGTACAAGACATGCTAGACTCCTAAAAGTTCAGAAAGAAACAAGATTATGTTTTTAAATAATTCAATAGAGAAGACACATGAGAAAATGTTGAACATCTTTCTGACATTTCTTAAACTCACGTTTTTATTTGTACAGTAACAAAAAGTAGATATTAATCCTACAGGTGTTCAAGAACTTATTGCCACAAAGTACTTAAAATAGTGCCTGGCCCATTGAAGGGGCTCGATAAATGTTATTTAGTTTATTATTACAGACACACAAAAGTGGTAAACATACACCAGAAAGGAAGTATGAATGACAACAACTTTCAGTGGAAAAGTGGCATTTGAGATGGTGAATTGACCCTTAAATGTATTCATGAATCCATTTTTTCAACCAATCATCCAACCAATTACTAGACATTGTCTAGTACATGCTGGAGATAGAGCTAGGCACAAAGAAAATGAATGTAAATAGTCTCAAAATGCTCATATGGTGACCAAGATTATAATGATATGTCAAAGTAGAGGACAGACATTTTAAGGAAAAGAAATAGTGTGAAAATAAATGACATAGCCAAGAAACAGTAAACAAGTGTGATATGTACGTAAGAGTTTATTAGACGATACAGTGAAAGACGAATCAAACACAGACATGGCCCACCAGAGAGAATAACTTCAGTGAGAAGTGGAGGTTGTCAGTCAGTTTGGGACATATATTTGGTGATGCTCAGCAGAACACTGAACATGTGGCTCTTAAGGTCAGGAGGGAAGTTAAGGCTAGAAAAATAGATCTCAGAGTTGTTGGCACAGAATGTCTGTCAAAGCTCTAGGAAAAGATGGCATTACCCAGTCACAATAAGAGAAGGTTAATGACTTAGCTTAGAGAACAAAATATGATTTGAGATTAGGCAAAGGAAGAGATATTAGAAAGGAGATTAGAGATGACATAAAAAGCTAAGAAGAAAACTTGGATTGTGTCCTGAAAGTCAAAGGAAAAGAAAGAAGAAAATGAATAGAGTTGACTGTTACAGTGTGGTTATGTGAACTGGAGGATGGGAAACCTGTGCCCTCAAGGCCACATGTGGCCCTTCAGATCCCCAACTGGGGCCCTGTGACTAAATTCAAATTTCACAGAACAAAGGGATTTTGTTCAGTCAAAAGGCCTCACTCAAGGATCCAGAAAACCACATGGCCCCAAGGCCACAGGTTCCCCACCCCAATACCCCCTAGTAGACACACATAAAATTGGTATCTTGAAGAAATATCCACACTATCCCGTTCATTAGAACATTATTCACCATAGCCAAAAGATAGAAACAACATAAATGTTCACTGGTACATGAATAAAGAAAATGTCTCCATATATGTGTATATAATGGAATACTATTCAGCTTTAAAAAAGAAAATCTTGCCTTTTGTGATAACATGAAGGAACCTGAGAACATTATGCTAAGTGAAATAACCCAGACACAGAAAGATAAATATTATATGACCTCACTTATATGTGAAAACTAAAATAGTCAAATTTAGAAACAAAGAGAAGAGTAATCATTGCCAGGGACCAAGAGGAGAGTGAAAGCAGATGTTGGTCAAAGGGCACAAAGTTTTAGTTATGAAAGATAAATAAGGTCTGGCCTGTAATCCTAGCACTCTGGAGGCTAAGGTGGGTGGACTGCTTGAGCTCAGGAGTTTGAGACCAGCCTGATCAAGAATGTGCCTAAAGTCCCAGCTGCTTGGGAGTCTGAAGCAAGCGGATCACTTGAGCCCAAGAGTTTGAGGTTGCAGTAAACTCTATCCTGGGCAACAGAGTGAGACTGTCCCAAAAAACAAACAACAAAAAAAGATATAAAAGGCCTGGAGATCTGTATTTAATACAATATTATATATTTGAAATGTGCTAAGAGTTGATCTTACATGTTTTCAACACAAAAAAATTATAGAAAAAAGGAAATAGTAACTATGTGAGATGATGGATACATTAATTATATTGATTACAGTGATCACTTTATAATAAGATATCAAACATCAAGTTGTTTACCTCAAATATAAAAATTCAATTTTTATTTATCAATTATATCTCAATAAAGCTGGAAAAAATTAAATAAAATAAAGGAAATACTTCTCTTTGAATTTCTTGCAGCCAGTCAATCAGCCCTCCCAAAGTGAGACTTGTATTCTTCCAAAATCACTAATCCTACTAACTTCCACAATATTGCCTCTGTGTAATTCAAAAACTCTTGTGAGGTAGATGTTATATAACACATGCTTAGTATAAAACACGTGTTAAAATAATCCTAGGGTGAGAGATATTAGATTGGAGTTGGGAGATGAGATTTTGCCTGTAGCTGGAATGTTTTAAATTTTTAAAAATACATGCGTATGTTTGAATGGTGGGAATACATACACAAATGTGCACTCGTTATTTCATTCTTTATACTTTCCTATAGTTAAAAAAAACCTTCAACTGTGAACCATACAAGAAAACTACAGTCGAAAAAGAGGGTAAACAGCCTCTGAATTAACACCACTAGCAAGCAACAGACAGAAACACCTTCCATGTCATCTGACGTCATTAAGAGGTTGCAGCCTTAAAAGTCTCAACAAAGGATACAAGAAAAAAGGCCCTACGGATGTCATCCAGATAGAGCTGCCGAAACTGAGTTATATCAGCATTATAGGAGAATTGGATACTGGTGAGCTGCGAGATAATAATAATGTTAATGCACAATAACAGCTCACTTCTACACTCAAAGGCAACCTTATAACGGCTAAGTCACAATGGCTAGAAACATATTCTGTGCTGAAAAAAAATCAACAATAAATCTTTTCCTAGCTTAATTATACCTTAATAAAATCTGCCAAAAAGTATAATATGTTGCTAATAATACAGAAAACAGAGTTGCAGTGTGTGTACACTATGTGTGTAATAAAAGAATTGGGCTTTTTCTTATCCTACATAAAGGTTTCACTTTTAAATCCCAATATAATTTTTCCCTTTTCTTGATCTTCTTAAACTGAAGTATGCTATGATATTTAAAGGGATGGTAAAAATCAAATATTTCTGTTTCTTTGTTTTCTTTGTTCCTCTGTTAATTCTATTTGCAGATAAACTATTTTCTCTCTATGATATAAAAAAAATATTCCTGTGTTTGGAAAATAGAAAATTGTGCAATTTCAACAATATAAGTATAGTCTTGTTAATTCTCTTTTCTCCTCAAAATAACACTGATGGGTGAGTCAAAGGAAGACTTTCCACACCCCCAATCCCCATATAAGTTCTAGAAAAAGATAAACTTGACTTCAGTTAAAATATGGAATTTAAAAAATAACACAATGATCCTCAAGCTGCTGAAATATTTAATGTTAAGGATAATCTCTATTTGCATGAATTTGGTCAAAAATGCTTTTCATGTACTGTTTTAATATTCTAAGACTGAAAGTTAAAAACCAGTAATTATTAAATATACTTCAATAAAGTTTCTTCTTTATTAAAATTAATTATTCTGAATTATTAATTACTTCCCTTAAAAACTTAACTGAAAACCGTTAAGGAAAGTGTTTTTTGGCTACATCATTTTATCCTCAGTAAAACTGTAAATATTCTATCACCAATTTCTTAGAATTATCTTCAGTTCTAAAAAAGAGACATCAATTTAACTCTCTCAACATAATAAAGGTATTCTCAAAATTTTGTTGAATATTAGCCAATTCGAGCATATTGTGTTTCATAAGAAGTCTAAGGTCTGGATGAAGACCACGATCATTAAGGTGACAGATTAGGCACCTTGAATCAGGATGACTAGAAAGAGAAAAACAACAATAGAAATTTAAACGTCATCATATAATCAAATTCATAAATTGACTTGTGACAACATAAACATTCTTCTGACTAAAATAAATTGGTGGAAGGAAAAATTAGATGTGAAAACAGAAAGTAAAATATAAATTTCAACTTCAGCATCAGCATTTTTGAAATTTATTAAATCTTGAGATAATTACATGTTGAAAGTGGTAGAGATACTGAAAACTCATAAAGTAAATGACAGTAAATAAGATAAAGGGCATTCTTTTCTTCTCTTTGCCCTCACCTATTATCTATTATTTTTATATCTGTGATTCTCAAGTGACCACTAAGAAAGGGCCAACCTCAATATTGCCCATAAAACAATAAAATTGTACTTTCTGAATAAGTAAAAATTTTCCTTACAAATTGTTTAACTGAATTATTAATACCAAATATAATTTACTAAAGTTCTTTAAACACAAAAATTTTAAGTAGAAAAAATCTTTGATGAAATAACATTGTGACTTCCTTAGACAGAGGGTAGTTTTAATATTCTCAAACATAACAATGACTTTGACAAGCTACCTTTTGTTTATAGGAAACACCAGAATGCTGTAGGGTTTCTTGTTCCATGTATATCCAGACAAACATCAAACATGACAACACTAATGGAAAGAGAGCTTCATACCTAAGGAGTGGAGATGGAGGGGTAGAAATCAAAAGAAAAAAAATTTAAATAAAAATGCAAATTTATACCGAGAGATGTTCCTCAAAACAATTTTGATAATGTTCTTAGTCACAGTAACACAAAATTTAAAATGTCTATGCTTTTCAGAAGAAAGCAGCAAAGGAAAGTAATATAAAAATCAACTTCAATATCAAATATTTTGAAATGTATTAAATCTTAAGATAATTACTTTAAATGGTTCAGATATTGAAAAATCATTTACACAGTAAGTAACAGATATACCTAAAAAAGAAAGAAAACATTAAGACACAGGTAAAAAGATAATTCCTGAGGTAAAATTATTAATATACATAAAAAAGCACAAGATGAACATTCCAAATTTTCTAAAATATGGGTAATACAGGAACACAAACAAAAATATGTTTGACCTTATCAATAACTGATATGAAAATTAAAGCAATGGTAAGATATTATATTCACTTATATTTATCAATATTAAAAAAAACAGTACTGACAAGAGCGTAAGGAAAAAGGAACTCTTCATACTCTCTACAGCATTAGAGACTTTTTGGAAGGCCACCTAAAATTATTTATCACGAAATCTGAAAAATATTCATATACTATAATATAATAGTGCCATTTCTTGGAATTTACCTTGAGAAAATAGTAAGATGTAAGTACTAAGATTTCCATTATAAACATGTTGTGATACTGCTTATAGAGGGGAGAAACGGAAAACAACCTATATGCTCACAGAGGAGTGACTGAATAACCTGTGGAACACCTACAGGCTGGAGTATAATACAGACAGAAAAAGAAAGAAGAAATGCTCATGAGATGAAACAGTAACAGAAGCCTTTTCTAAATTATTTCCTCTTAGTTTGGGATAACTGGTCCACCCCGGTAATCCCCAAATACTCTATTATAAGTCCTTACACCATCTTAATCACATGTTTATTTGTATGTATCTCCTACTAGTTTATAAAATAAGTCTGTGATTCTGTTGCCACCATTGCTGGCCTAGGTAGATCACAAAAAGTACTGGTTGAATGAAGTTCAACCTAATCAGAAGTTACAAAACAAAACAAAGCAAAATAAAGCCTTATTTCCTTTTAGATTCTTTCAAGTACTAAACTATCTATACACCATATGGCACTATTTCCTAAACATAAGAAAGCAAAAGAAACAAAATTCTTTAAATTCCATCACAGATCATAAAACTGTAATACTGAAGACCAGGCAAAAAACATTTAGGTTTGAGAAAACATACATAAATCACTTGTTATATAAGATTTAGAATTCAATTCAAGTTGGGAGGAAGAAGGAGTGAGGGGATGGGTGTGCTCCCACCTAATGGGCTCAATGTCAGGGTGTATGGTACAACTCCGAGTTCAGGACACAACTACAACAGGTATTTTACCTAACAAATGCAAACATTGTAACCTAATTGTTTGTACCCTCATATTAATCTGAAATTAAACAATATATTAAATGGGAAATTCCAGAAACAAACAAAACAATGCACAAGGAAATGAACAGACACTACATACATGAGAAAATAGCATTAGGAAAACAAGTACAGAACACTGTACAAAGTATCATTTTTGACCTATTAAAACAGACTTTGATATTCTTGGTTAAAAACGAAAATAACCATTAAGGATATGATGAAATAGTATCCCTCAAAGTTCGTTAAGTAGGAAGAAAGACACAAAATTGTACATGTACTGTGATTATTTCTAAGTTAAGAAAACAGATACAAGGCTAAGCTGAAAAGATACCAGAGCATCAACAAGAGTAGAATTAGTGATTTTCTTTCTTATTCCTACTTTCTGAAATATAATGATACTACTGTTACAATGATTAAAAAAAATAATTGGAAAGCAAAAATTTAGAATGCCTTTATCCCGGGCATTCTTGAAAGGTCAGTTCAATTTCCACAAGTCCTTGATGGCACCAACTCAGTCCCCCTATTCAAGCTCTTTCTCTAGTCATTCTTTATATCACACAATTCACAACAACTTAATTGCTCCATTTTGTAGTTGTCTAACACTGTAAAATATAGCTCTTATTTTATGGCAGCTTATAACTGTATTGTACACTGGTAGGACACTAATTGTTCTTTCTATATGCTCCATACTGCTCAGGACACTGGTGAAAGAAAAAACAATTGTTGATTAATTGAGTAAAGAAGGGGCATACTCTGGGCAAAAAGGGACCATAATTTTAAAAAGAAGATTTGCAATTATATACATAGCTACTTTTTCCTAATACATAATAACATAATTTTATAGGTCTGCAAATAGTGCTACAGGTTTATTTCCTTTCAAAAACTATATACAATGATCACTTTCTTCCTACGGGACTTTACCTCTTAAGATAATCAATATTTTGTATAAAGTCTTTGTATCTCAGTTAATAAACTGAAATACCAATGAAATATCATCACAGACTTGGAGAAAACAGAACGAAACTTTACCAATTTAGGATCTGCTGGTTTGGTCTCTATACAAATTGAATAGGGCTGACAAGGAGTTTAACTTTGTATTATATAAAGGAACAAGGTAAACAAATTTCAGAGGGAAATGTTTAACCATCTTTAACCAAAAGAACAAATGATTTTCAAGTATTATAATAGTTTTCATTTGCATAAAAATAATTAAGTACTGATTAAAAATGAATCTTCTTTATTCACTAAATCAAGGACACATTGTTAGAATTTAGAATTACTATATTTCCATCATATAATAAAACTACGCTTCTTTTAAATATCCTGTAATGCTGAACATTCACTAATTTACATAAAGAACCCTCCAGGTCATGATAAACCCTAACAGGTGGACTAAGTTTTGCAAAACTGATTTGAAACACTGAAAAATATACAAACTGAAATGATTAGACTGTGCTGTTTCAAGATAACCTTTTGAGGGTTTTTTTTCAAAGCTAAATATAGTTTCTGAGTTGAACAATGTATCACTTAATGCATTCATTAATAAGGTCACACATGGCATTAATATTCTGATTAAGGATATGAATTTTCACTTTTTAGACTTTCTTAAAGTACGTTAAAAATACATGTGATAATCTGTTTTTGTGTCTCTTATGACTACTAAACTAGTGACTGAAAACACTATAGTACCCCCAAGGTAAATTACACAATTAACTCACTCTACACTAATAGTTTTTTCACTCAAAATTAAACTTTAATTATCCTTCCTTTCCATATTCCCTTTCTAATCCAGTGAACCAGATCTATTTCTAGGTTTGCTGACATTTTTTAATCAACCACATTATTGCTTTAACATTTTAAGGTTTAAAAAGAGAAGGATTATAGACTATTAAATGATTACATAGATGTTAGCACATATTTCTGGATCCTTTCAAACATTTATTTCCATAAATCAACCTCTGGGTGTGATTATCTTGAAACTCATGTGTCACCTCAACATGGTGACTTAGAATAGAGATGATTTTATATTCTGCTTTCTTACATAGACCAAAAACTTGTACATATTTAAATTCATTTTTACTTGGATGAATTCTAATACATATGTATAACAAAATTATTTATCCTGAAATTTCACCAATAAAAAGGAAAAGGGTAAGGGGTTCTAGCTCTCAAGATGTTTATCACTCTTGAATATGAAAAGCTGGATGCTTACAGACTTCAAGTTTTATTTGAAAGTTCAAAGATTTAAATCTCAAAGCAAGCCCATCTTAAGATCTTATTAGGCAGCTGCTGAAAATTTCCATTATGCTTATATTACATCTTTGTCGCTGTGGCCCACATCTGATTAGTCAGGGGAAAGGGAGACAATAGGAGGTGAGGGGAGCTCTGGTAGAGGAAGAGGTTTAGCACCCCACTGGATTATCTCCTATCCTGGGAATATAAGAACTCCTGAAGTCTAGGTCACTTAGGATATTAGCATCTACTATGAAAATAATTTGAGAATATCTCTCTAATCCTAAATTAGAACAACTAAGTTTCCCAAGCCTTGGACCCAAAATAGCTTTACAGAATCACTAACTATACATAATTCATCGACAGCATGATGGTGAAGCCCTATATTTA